CCAAAAAATAGCGACTGCGTGGAATTTATGCGCGCACGGTTCACTGTAATATGTATTCACATAAAACATTCAGTATAATATAATAAATATTGCATGTAGTTGAGTGTAACATTGAAAAACAGTATATAATGTCAACCGAATCAGGTTGACAATGGTTTTTTTGAAAATTTTAGTTACACTTTACATGCAATATTTATATAGTACTTTCAGGATGCATAAAATGTACATTACAAATAGCATATTTATACAATTTTTACATTGATTGAATGTTTTTAAAGGGGCCTGGACACATTGTAACTTTTATTCAGGTAAATCTAATGATCAACTAAAACTTAAGGGTATGTCCTCGAGTTATAAGTGAATTGCAGTGCTCAGAATTCTTTGTAGTGTCTTTCTGACATATTTTCTATTTATCGATAAAAATATGATTACTTGTAACTGTAAACAAGATCTCCAGAAATGACGTGTGACTCTCTATTCGGGGACGTTGCTTTTTTGACCAAAATTATACGTGTCATCAAAGAGATGACTGTTTGTTTCTTAAACTGCTGACTTCAGGGCATTTAAACAAGATCATACTGGAATTTTTGAAAGTAAGCCAAAGGTGTTGTAAAAAGAAAAACATGCGTATGCGTTGTTTTTTTTGCATGATATACTACACGTGTACTCGGGTGGCTGTCGGTGCACATACATAGATTTTTCTTGTTACTTTGGTCATTTATTTACATATGTTATCACTTTATCTTTTCATTATCATGGTTATAAATTTAACACATGCAAACTGCAGAACAGCTGAAATAGCACAACATTTGCAGGTCTATACATTTATCTTAAATACGTAATATTTATTGACATTTGTGAAAACGATGTTTCGGTATATAAACCAACATTTGCTGGGGGAGGGGGATAAATATAGCTACTGTATGTTTGACCAGGAAGTCCATTACAATTTCATGGTGAGAATTTCTATCTAATCAGTACAAAGATATATAGAAATGTAGATAACTGTGACGGGTATTTTTGTGTTTTGTTTGAGTGAAAGGAAAGTTGTCAAATTCTTAATTAAAAACGACTTTGTTGGCAGCACCCAAAAGTCCGATCATGTATAAAAATATTTTCAAGATCCGATTCTTTAGTCAACCTGGTAAGATATTTATTTTTCGTTGATACTAGTTGATGTAAGTTAAAATTACCTTGGTTTATTTGTAAAATGAAACAAACAAGTCTACTTTGTCGATAGGCAAGTTCCGAGACAAATCCTTACACATATGTATCCAGTATGTAGCAAATGTAGCACTACTAAACTAGCACATTTAGGGTCTATAGGATTACATTGAGCATCGACTTCAATTTAGGTCTATGCGTTGAATACATATTCATATACAGATGTGTGCCAAAACTAAAGATTATTTTATTTTATCTCTATAAATTTTATTGAAAACCAAATGTAGTTAAATCGCTGGCAAATGGTCATTTTTTTTGTCCAATTTCATTTTTTTTTCGGTACTTGAACCAGAAAATATGTAGTTATCTTGCTCTAAAAGATCATTACATATCTAGTTTTTAGGTAAAGATAGTTCATCACTTACAAAAGTTCTAAAATTCAAGATCAATGTTCACTATATAATTCATGTCGCACTTAAATTACAATATTTTTTTGAATATTGATGCTGATCAGATAAAAACTATTCTTTTTATCAAACAAAACAATTTCTTTTATTATCGAAAAAAGGACAAGGTAAGTTAATCTGAATCTGGGCCCTTATTTGGTGTAAAAATCAGAACACAGTAAAAACTGTGATAGTTTGTAGTTAAGAACTTCTATCGACGCTTGTTTTCAACCAGCGCTAATTTTCATTCAAAGCATGCAAATAGGCCACAACAGGGTGCAAAAATAGGATGTTTTCTCGAATTTTCTCAATTCTGGAGAATTTTGTCAAATTTGAAATACTTTTCACTTCGGAAAACATAGAGCACAAGCTTGCGAATCTGAAATTTTTACACACAAGACGCATCTAATACTAGTTTATGAAATATATATAAATTTGTTAGGTAGCAAAGCTTGTGCTCTATGTTTTCTAAAAGAAAATGTGCTGTAACATTGATTGAAATCCCCCCCCCAAGAGAAAATTTAGAAATTGGCCCATTTTCTGACCGTCCTGTGACCACTGTGTATCCCATAACTTAAAACCAATAATCCTTTTTGGCAGCGGTGATAAGTAGTTTTTAGTTTTTAAACTGTTGCATCATTCTAAAAGACACCCCAAACCAGGGGCCAAAAGGGGTCTTACCTTATCTTGTCCTTTATGGTAAAATTTGTCAGGAAATAGTGTCATTCCAGTGACTTTATAAAATGTTGTTTAAAATGAAATATATATAGATAAAAAATAAATTATCTTCACTTTTAGCATGCATCTGTATACATGTACTCGTATCATATCCATTTTCGAAGATAAGATATACTGATATCAATAATTTTGGGTGAGTAAAGAAAATGCAAATAAGAAGAAGCAGCAGCATGATCGCATTAAATTTTTACCATTATATAATAATACCCCCCCCCCCTAAAAAAAAATTATCACAAAAACTTATTTTTGTTTCTTGGTCTTTTAAAGCGTATCTGATCGAAACACTACTCTCCCTATAGTTTTTTTTTTAATCCCACATCATAACTCTTTCTTACCCCCCTCCCTCCCCAGTAACCACCCAGCACCTACCAGTAAGAACCGCAATTTTGTCAGATATTTCTTGTTTTAAAAGTATTTAAAGAAGTAACAATATCTTTTGACTGTACAGGTACCGATGGACATTAATTATGGTTAAATTGGTTTTCCTTCATTACATTGTTAATTATATTGATCGAAATAACATGGACTGAGCATGTTTGGATAAGAAACAATGATCCTGAGAACTATTAAAAAACTGGGTAAAACTCGGTTCAAACTGCTTTCGTTTTAGGCCAAGCTTAAAAATTCTTTGTTTGCAGTTGCCGTCCTATTATTTTTGAGCGTAGGTCGATAGGTAGGAGTGAATTTTTAAGGTAGGTACAGATTTTAGTAATCAAGTTTTTGTTGGATTACCAAAAGATTTTCATTGGGTTACTTAATGTAAATAACCTCCACTTATTTTATGCCACTTATTGACAGCAACAAAAATTAAAAAAATTGAACAAGTTTCAATATCCTAAAAATTTGACATTTCCAAAAAGAATTCTTTTCAAATAATGGCTGAAAAAAAGTTTTTGAGTCGGGTGCATTTTAGTGGGTCAGTAGGCGACTGCAAACAAACTTTTTTTTTTATTTATGCCTTGCAAAGCAAAAATGTTCGGGCTATGCAACAAATATTATCAAGTATCGAAATTTCAAATTTTGACAATTAGACAGAGGTGAAAAATGTGTATAAAAAATCGAATCAAAATAGTTTATGTAAGCATACGACAATTATGTAAGCATACGACAATTTCTAAAAGGGGAAAAAATTGAGTTGTTGCTACTCTAAAAAAAATAGAAATTATATTATACATCAGTATAATAAAACGCTTATAGCTCTTTTATCAAACCCTTGACAGAAAGTATAAATTTTTCGAAAATTTTAAGTGTATAATAAATTTTTCGAAAATTTTTGGAACTCTCAATTTGGGTAGGGAGTGGATCTAACACAGTCAAAAGATATTGTTACTTCTTTAAAATACCAAAATTAAAATTTGTATTAAAAAAAAAATTCTAAGAGGCAGATTTCATTTTCTATAGTTCAGTTCCATTTTATGGAGTAATATTTTTTGAAAGTGAAAATGAAACTCCGAAATCAGGATATTTGACATTCAAATTGTAGAGTAGATTTTTTTTTTCCTTTTGATGAAATAGTTTAAAATTTTGTTTAATATATAACTCAAGTTTTCAACAGAGCTGTAAATTTAATCTTATTTTTCAATCTTCCATCCATAATAACCATGGATGTTTTATTGCTATATTTCTTCGTCCCAGATAACGCAAACATTCATCGATTTATCCTGCTTTGACCTCTTGCTTTGACAATCATTATGTATATACCACAAGAACTTTAAAGTATGTGTGTGGTGTGTATGCGTGCTGTGTGTGTATGTGTTTGTTTTTTTTTGGAGGGGGGATAAGGGGTACACTCTCTGTAGTAAATTCTTGAAGACTTTTTTATACAGTTTCAAAAATCCGCACAAAAGAATTGAATATCTTTAAAATTAGAATTTTTTGACAACCGATAAAAAATTCATATTTTTTTCGTTACATTTATCAGTAGTTTAATTTTAAAATAAATGTCGGGTCGAGATCGACATTGAATGACTTTGCCTCCTTTGAAAAAAGTACTAATTTGACTTAGCGGTATTTCTTAGACTTATAGTCAAGATAGTTAGGCCTAATAAAGTCCAATGCAATAGAATTTTTCACTTCTAACTAATTTTTTATTCAAAGAAAGGTAACTCCTAACATTAAAATGTGCAAATTTATGGGGAATATTTTATTTTAAATCTTTGTCTTTGTAAACAGACATCAAGCGGCCAAAGGCAAGCGAAGATGATCGATAGACAATGATTTTTTTTTATAAAAGACATCTTTCTTGATCCTCGATTAACATATTCAAAATAATGGGAAAAGTCCGTAAAAATATGTTATTTACGCAAACGGAAACTGGGTGCAATATATCTAATCTCACGTTATCTTATGCACAATTTTTATGATGTAGCCAGTACAGATAGATTGATCAAATACAGTAACTTCTTTGTCTATCTCTTTTCAATTAAGGAAATATCTCCTACACTTTATTTCTAGAAATAAAAGTTCACTGCTCCCAGTGCCGCGATGTATCCTCATATCAATAAAAAACAAAGGTCAAACGCAAAAACAATTTAATACTTGGCCCATATTAGAGTGCACAATTTTACACAAATGTATTTTGTTTTTCTTCCTCTCTCTTTCACACGCTCATCGATTGAAAAGATTGTAAACACTGTGTGTGACAAGAGAATTCCAGTCGAATCCGGATTCGATTAACATTTGGGATAAAAACCAGTTTCAGCTGGAATCAACGCGTTATTCTGTATTATAACTTACCAAAGTTAGGAAGTCGTTGCACACACACAAAAATTCACCAGTAATATTGGCGATAATGTCCCCCCAATGGCAGACTTAAAGCTGGACCAGCGTCGCCATTCTTGGTGTAGGACTCTCATTTAACAGTGACTTAGCCGTAAGTTAATTTTAAATGCTAATATTCTTTAATTAATTATTTTATTGAAATTATAAAGAGTAAAAATATTTCCTCACTAGGCATAGTACTAAGCAATGGTTTGTTGACATATACACATACTGCTTCATTTTATTTTGCACGTAAATGTGTGCATGAATTTTGATCAAAGAGTTTTTTAAATCAAAAATTAGTATTTACCTCATGATATTTACAAAAAATATCCGAATTGAAAGAAAACCTCCGATTTTAGTCTTTTAGGGACAATATTTATTTAAAACCATTATAGAAACAGTCTGAGACGGCCTCCTTTATCATTATTATCGAAAATCAACATGGTTAAATACTTCGCTATACTGCACGAGAGTCTAGACGGCAAAAAAGGGGAGACTTTTTACAGGTCTTTGCAGAAACGGATCTCGTTAAAATTTTATCTGTTCTTGTATTTGATTAGTAAATTCGTTTATTTAAAAAAAATCAACATTTTGTACGTGACCATGTAGATATCTACATAGTAAATTTTGTTCAAAAGTTGTCAAAATATGACTAAATTAAACTTGTCCGAAATCGGTGTCACCTTTTTGCCTTCAGCTGTTTTGGTCACGAACGAGCGAGCTAGGGCATTTACATTTAGCATGCGCATTGCGTGTAACTGTGTTTTTAAAACTACGCAATTTGCAACTGTAGCAAAATGATCCAAGATCTCATCAAGTACATAAAGTACGACATGTACAATGAGAAGAGTCAGCATAATAATAAGGCCCCATACTACCCATAGTCCTCTGCGTCTCCATTTGGTACAAACCACAGGCCTTTAATGTTTCGCTTAGAAAAAAAAAATTGAGATGTTGAAAAAAAAAAAATAAAGGTATGCAAACTCTTTTTGTGGGCGTACCTACTTTCGCCAATAAAATTCTTTTAAATCCAATGCTTTACAATTTTACTTTCTATCAACATCTATTTAAATATAAACAATCTTCATTACTACCAAAGTTCATTCCGTAATTCTTTATACTTCTCGAGATATGTGTGAAATCAATTCCTAAAAAATTGACAATAATTTTTTTACTCGACATCAGCTTGGGCCTTCACTAATTGTAAAGCGGGAACAACTTGAAAAGGACAAATTTTCCCGGAATTTATATATAAACTCAAAGAATATTTGCTCATTTGCATTCAAGCTTTACAAGGTTTTTCTTTAATTTGATCATATGGTGTTACTAAGTCATAAACAACATTTTAGCGGTCTAATTGTTTGAAAATCGAAAGGTATATAATGCATTCCTGGGAAAAATTCGTTTCCAACGGAAAACCATGGCTTCATTTACATTCATAATCAACATGGCGGTAGTTGTTGATGTAGACGTTTTCAAATTAATTTTTCGCGAAAGGAATATTATTACGGACTTAACGTTACAATCTGGAGTAAGAAATCAAATTTAAATTGTTGAAAGATTTTGCAAATACTATGCAACTCTTCGCCGCACTTCAAACACCGTCTGTTTACATGTGAATGGCCAGGGGCCCAAGCTAAAATTGTCGAGTAAAAAAGAAAGTAGGTCATTTTTGAAATTGATTTCAGAATATCTTTCAAAAGAAATATATGGAATTTCGGAATGAGCTTTGGTAGAATTGAAGACTGTTTATCTATGAATAGAATTAAATAGAAAGTAGAATTTTAGAGCATTCGAATGAAAAATATTTTATCAGCGAAATTAGGTACCCAGTGTAAGAGTTCAGTACCTTTATTTTTTTTTTACACACACAATTTTTTTTAAGCGATCCAAAGGCCTGTGGTACAAACGAACTCTGGCGGAAGTTTGAATAAGGCCCCTAATATCATAACATGACGTTCATATGCAAAAATACAAATATGATGATAGGTTGTAATTAAGAAAAGATTGATTCGGACAAATACTTTAAAAAATGCACAAGTTTTTATCTTTCTTTTTTCAATGTTTACCTGATGAACTTTGAAAACAAAGGAAGTCAGAAAACAGCTGATCGGTCTATGACGTTTCAAGGTCACGCAAACAAGCGGGAACCGGAATTTACCGCGCGTGTGCAAACATTCCATATGATATTGTGGCGCGTAACTGGAATTCTTCCAGTAAGGAAGTAAGGTCTATCGTTTTAAAAATTAAGCTTGCGTAGCATATAGATAAGACCCTTTTTAATTAAAACAGCGTTAAACGGATAGTATGAATATTACCGCTCTTCGTCCACATCAATCTTAAACAAGGTTTGTAAACAACTTTAAGACAAAGTGCGATCACATTATTCAGTATCCATAGAAACATTCTTAGGCTGATTTATGTGTGAAAACGAAAAAAATATCCCTAAAAATATTAACGTAAGTACTGTATAACGGGTTTTCCTCTTTATTTTCCGATCATTTAATTTGTCGCCAAGCATCCACAATCTTGCAAAAAAAATCGATCGAAACCAATCTTTCTTGAAAAGGATGACATATTGTCAAAACTCGATCCACTGGGGAAGGGGGGGGGGGTTAGTGAAAAAATATATAAAAAATTAAAATTATTCCGTTTTGCCTGTAAATATTTTGTTAAAACATATCCAAAAATTGAAGTTTGGGGGCGCAAATGAGGGGGAAAAAAGGGCCACCCCTAAAATTAGGGATCTGAGGCCCAAAAGTGATATCTCGAAAAGTGGAATTTGTAATACTTCAAAGAAGGAAAGTTGTTCAAAATGACAAGCTTAATCTATTTATGGATTCTAGAGGTTTTGTAGGGTAAACATGAGGTCTACCGAAGACATTTTAAACATTTTCTCGACAAAACTAGGCCTATGTGTTATGCTAACTTTGACAATTTTAAGGGGGGGGGGGCAAATATTGCTTATTTTTGCATTAATTAACATAGCTTTAGAGGATTCCGCCATTTTTGGCCTGCGATTTACATTGAAAATGAAAGGTCTTCCTTTTCCAACGGAAGACCTACTGATTCTGATGATTAAGATTATTCTTTTTTTTCCTTTTCCTAGACGCCAACTTTGAGGCCTCATATTTCACTCATTTCTCAATGGATTTTGCTCAAATTTTCAGAGTTTATAGACGTTACTAAACTCTATCAGAATTTTGTCTAGCTTTTCAAAACTTCACTTCCGGTTTTGAGTTATTTCCCTTTAAACGAAAATTTATAGGCATTCATTTCCATACAAAGGCTCGGAAATGGCAAAAACTGGAGCAGAAATTTAACTGATTTTACACAACAGAAGGATTGAAGTTGTGCATAGCGGTTTTTGTTTTTTGATTCCTCTATTCAAAACGGTGCTATATAGGGGTCAAAAATTAGAACGCCTAAAAGAGCGAAAGTTTACACATATTTAGCTTTTTATCTTCTAAACTAAAAATATTTTGTGAAAACATATAGAATAAAATTTGTGCAGAATTACAAGATCTTTCAAATGATATCTCGAAAAAAGGGCTGACTCCTAAATTAAGGGATCTAGAGGGGCCAAAATTGTTTTCCAGATATCTCAAAAAGAATTGAGAATTTGTAATACGTCCAAGAACAAAGTTGTTTAAAATGTCAAGCTTAATCTATTGAAGTCGTCAAAATGCGTCCGGTGACGTCACTTCCGGTCAAACCGGAAGTCGTCAGAAAATGCATATTTTTGCCGTTCTTGACAAGTTTTTGGGTAACATATGTCACTGGAAGCATAAAACTGAATTTTCCGTCCGTCGACATCACTTCTGGTTAAGCCGGAAATAGCCAAAAATAGCTTATTTTTTAAGGTTTTGATGCAAAATTGAAATTATAAAGTGACTGGAGACGACTTAGCTCATTGTTTTCTTTTGTTGACGTCACTTCCGGTCAAAACAGGACGTAAGACCTACTCGTTGCTTTGCAACGAGCTTTGCTCTAGTTCTCTGTATTTTTACACCTCATGAGTAAGCTCATAGTCAATATGGAGCGCCAGATTTGCGAGGTCAATGTTCTCTTGTCATAGCCCTGTAAACAAAAGCAGAATGCCCCGTTTTCATTATCTGTTCCCTGATTTAGCCTTGATCTCGAACTTTTTTTACGATAAGGAGGTAAATATTTACCATTTGTCAAAGCATGTTACCTTAAAAACACCACCCTTCCGCGTGATATCTTGTCAAATGCACAATCGAAATGAGTAATTAACTTTTTTTTTTAAATTCCTTTTTTTTTTTTTTTGATGAATAAAATTGATCTATTTTTATCTACACAATTTTTATTTTAAAAAAAAAATCTATTGCAAGTACATGAACTTTTTTCAAAGATTATTTTCAAGTCATTTTTCGGATCTTGATTTGGAGTATTTGAGATATTCATAAAAAACGAAAAAAAAAAAAAAAAAGATTTGTATTTCAAATTTGTCGATCTTGTTTCGCCTAATATGATTTCATTGAATACCGTTAGGCGATCTTCAACTCTGTAGGCCTATATATTTAACTTTTTTAACGAAAAGAGGGTCAGGCTGATATTGTAAATATAAAAGCGAGATGAAAAATGCTGCTTTATCTACGTTAATTTCTTCATTTTTTTAAAAATATCTGGAATAGTTAAAAATAGCTACATATGTAGTAATTTTCACAGTTAATTTGTTATATTGACGAGAATAAAAATCATTGTTTTGAATTTTTTTTGTGTTTAAACGTGTGTTTACATGTTCAAGCGAATTATAAAGCGTCACACACAGAAGCAAAATGATGAAGTATATGAACATATTGTTTATGTATTAAAATTTTACAAATGGGATATAGGACAAAAGTTCCAAAACTCAATTCTCCCGCTCCCTACCAAAATGTGCATCAACCAAAACGACCCGACTCATGTTTTTATAATTAAAAAAAGAAGATATTCTAAACATTACTTTAACTATAATTGAAAAAGAAGATATTCTAAACATTACTTGATCTACTCTAGTATCTCCTCGGGTTAATTTTTTATGACAAAACACATTATTCATTTTTGCGGAAAAATTTAAAATATTATGACGTCATTCAAACGCTGCTAGAAAATGGTAAATAGAGACGTAGAGAGAAAATGAAGTGAGATCATGACATGTCAATGGATCTTAAGGAAAGTACCGAATAATGTAAATCATGTTTTGAAACTTCCTCTTGATAATTCTTTCGATTTGTAAAGATTATATTTTAGAATCGAATGATACGATCTGATATTTGTTGATTCGCAGTATTGAATTTGAGAGGAATGATGCGTTCACTGTTACATACCTAGTTTTAGATTCAATTCAAATTCTGAAGAATATATAATTATGTAGTTTAAAATTTGGTTATACCGTGTTAACTACTTTAAATTCTAAAGCAATTTTTTAAAAATATATCGTCTTTCCACAAATTTTATCTAAAAATAAACTTTGTTGTTACACTACTTTACATTTTGTGCAAATCGAATTGTGGTTGAGGAATGAAATCGATTCTGGAAGAGTTTGATTTAGTGACAACTAAGGAGCCATCGTTGTTTAAAATCTGTAATACTAATTATATTGGTACATCTGTGATATGAATGATAAATCATTTGTATTATACTTTATTGTTTGTAAACGTTATATCCGTATTTATCAATATAAACATACAAAGCCATTTTATTTTTTTTTTTTTATATGTACAAGTTATTTATTTAAAAAAAAGGGCGAAGGGGTACATAAAATTTCAAATCTATTAAAATCATTGTTTGTAAACGTTATATCCGTATTAACCAATATAAACATACAAAGCCATTTAATTTTTTTATATGTACATTATTTATTTGATAAAATTTCGTATTTAAATCTTGGTCCGCTACGTATCGTCTAATACATAATTGTTTTCTGTAAGTGATATTCACGGATTTAAAACAGAAGTTATTTTAAAAAATATTTTCATAAATATTTTAATTTTAAAAAATCAATGTCCATATTACTATTTACATCATGTAAAAATTTACTAAATATAATATGCACTAACATTTTTTTTTTTTTTTTTTGCACCTGTTTGCAACCAAAACAATATTTACATGTTTAATATCTGAGAAAATCCAAAATGAAAAAAAAAATATTTCAATGAAATTTGGCTTGTCTCTCAATGGTAAAATAATTTTTCGATAGCGGTGTACTCTATCCATGAAAAAAATTACTTAGAGCGCCAGTGCAGCCACATGTGATTTACTGTGTAGGTGGAAAATTATTTGTATATTTTACTTTTTTACGTGAATATAAAAATATTGCATAAATATTTTATTTCAAAGTCTTTCACAGATCTGTCCGCTGTCTATCTTCTCCTATATACAGATTTAGGACAATTAAAAAGATGGAACGAATAATCTCCAAAGACAAAGTGAAGGTAAATATAGAAAAAAAATATTGAACATTTTAAGGCAACATTTTTCAAAACGTTCAATGAATATATTTGAATTTGCATGCAGATTTATTTTTCAAAAAAATAATTTTACAAGTACAAAAAATCAATATTTTATTTTTTTTCCAGAAAAGCATTAGAGCTGCTTTAAGAAGGAAGTTACCGGCTGACCAGTACACAACCACTGTCGGATCCTATTGCGAGTGGAACAGGGACGTCGATTTGGACCCCCCAGACTTCGTAGAGGAGGCCCCAGAAAATGACAAGTACATTGAAAACTATTACGATGCCCTGCAGTATTCTCTGTATGAAACAAACTTCCCGGAAACCGTGGACAGAACGGAAGATCCCAGGACTACTCCACCTGCCTCGGGGATTTCCATCGTTGTAATGTCGTCCCCCGTGGAATGCATGGCCATTTTACTGGAAGGGGGTCGGCAGTGCCCCGGGGATATGCTTCTGGTCATGTCAAAGTCGTGGATCACAGTCGTTCCTAGTGACTTTGACCCCTCTATGAACAGCCTGTTCGTCCACAAAGCGATATCCTTTGACACGGGAGGTAGGACGTTTATTGACGTCTTCGATCCGCCCAGACATGTGACGTACTTCATGAATTTTTTCACGAGGGCCATTACAGAGGGCCAGACTGGAGATGGGGAGGAGCTGGAGGTCAATCTTGACTGCCCCATGTCCAGCTCGCTAAAACTGGTCAAAAGAACAGACGACAAGTTGTTTACTAGGATTCTGATGGCTGAAGCTGGTGTAGCTTACCCGGAAACTCTTGCTTTTGGTTACAAAATCCCCTACCCCTACAATGTACCTAACGATGCCAACATTAGGATTCTTAAGATCTCGACCAAAGAAGGGGTAGACAACCTCATACAGGAAGAAGTTATGTCTTTCTTAAACAAACTAGATGACGGCGTGGACAAGGTAATGAAACCCCCTTTTTTATCTATAATCACTCTTCAAAATAAAACTCATTACTCTACACTGATTCAATGAATTTTGAAAATACCTTAGGTACATGTAACAATGCCATCATAGTGAAGTCCCTTTTCTGATTCCTTTTATTGTCGTGTTCAGTTTTCATGACTGAAAGTGAAAATGTTTTATTCTACTTCAGATTGTAGTGAAACCGTCTGGAATAAAATGGCATGGAAGTATGGGAGTATCCTTTTACAACAGGATGGATTCCAAGGCTATTTGTGATGCGGCAGCTCTGCTGCTTCAGGCTTTGGATCCCGGAGACGGTGTTTTGGTAGAAGTGTTCTGTGGCCCATGCGAAGGTATATACTAGTATACGATTTGGGAGGATGTATAAAGCTAGAATTCTCGCTAAATTTAGCCGTTTTTGTCTTGAAAAAAATGATCATTGGATTATTATTTCTATTTGATAGATGATAACGCAATGAAGGACTTTTCGTTTCGTCTTCGTGCCAACGTCTGCCGAGGGCCAGGAGACGTACCAACCACCACCACTCTTATATGTGGTGTCGGCAAGAAAAACGAACCAATCAACGGCGACAATACTGTGCCGCAATCATTGCAGACGACTATGCGCCAGTGGGGTCTGGAGGCGGAGACGGAACGCATAGTGGAGACGATCAAAATAGGATCAGAGAAACTCCTTCAACGTGTGATCAACCATGAGAATTCACTTACCTTGGCCGAAAAGGGGTGTGTAGGAGCGCAGACAGATGTTATAGGTAAGACATAGTCTCCATCCATTCGGCATACCTCGGGCGATTTGTAACTTCATCTTTGATGAAGGCGACGGAATCATCCAAGGTTTTCTGAATGAGATTCGGAATCTTTTTTTTTTTAATAAAACACCATTAACAAATTATTTTTATTGTTGATTGTTGAAACCTACAATTTTTATTTGAATAGGAATTGACTATTTCCTGAGTAAGAGGGGTGGAAATTACATCCCATACGGAATTGAGGTCAACAGCCATGACTGCACCATCAACTGTCAGCTGTACGAGTTCATCAACCCCTCCCAGACCGGAAAATCCGTGGCCCCCCTGGTGGAAACAATGATAGAACGATCTCAGAAATTCATGGTCCAGGGTAAAAGGGTACTGGTCCTGAACTTGGGAGTCAAAAGCAAAAAGTTTATACTGGATGCTGCAATTAGGGACAATATCAGGGTAATTATGTTACATGTAGTTTGTTTTTTACGTACGTTATGTCATTATTATTAGAATATAAAGTATTTTTAAATCAAAGAATCTGGAAAAGTCTGTTTATTGTAAAACTGCTAAGAAAGTTTAGAACTGATAAAAGTAAAGTAACTAAAGACAGAGACTGGGGGAGGTGTCAGCAATTATATCGCCAGAAAGTGTAAATGATGTATTGAATTTTAACAAATCTTGCTGAAGGTGCTCATTATTTTTCTTCAGGTTATTCTATGTGATACTTTTCCGGCAGAGATGGCTCCTAAAGTCCACAGATACATCCAGTACGATTTCTTAGACCACACACAAGACGAAGAGCATGCGCAAAACATCATTGAAATCCTTCAAAAGCAGGAAATCATCATCGACGGCTGCTGCACTTTCTGGGAAGATTGTGGACCTCTAGCTGCCATCATTAATGAAAAAATGGGTCTGATGGGTGCCGGGGTATCGGGAGCAAGGAGCGCAAAGCAGAAGTCTAAGACGCACCAAACGCTATACAGTCGCACTGGGGACATTCCTCATTTTCCTAGAACACACTTGTACACAGAAAAATGTATTCATGTGGAAAAAGCCGAGGACCTACCATCCGCCGTGGCAGAAATAGGCCTCCCTTGCGTGTTGAAACTGGAGTTTGGTTCCAGTGCAGTTGGCGTGAAGCTGTGTCACGACTTGGACGAATGTACTATGTACTTCAATTCTCTTCAGAACCAACTTACCTGTGAAGCTGATTTCCCCGGAATTGGTCTCGGCCATGGAAACAGCATGATGGTCATGAAATGGCTCAGAGGGACAGAGCATGATGTTGATCTCGTGATCTACAAACGTAAGCTTATAGCAGCCTTTGTATCGGACAACGGCCCCACACGACCGGGTTCCTTCACCGAGACCGCAGCCTGTATGCCCTCCTGTCTACCTCCAGATAAGATCGGCCAGATCGTCACGGCAGCCTACCAATGCTGCACGGAGGTGGGGCTAATCAACGGCGTCTTTAACGTAGAAATGAAGATGTCACCAACGGGACCGAAACTGATAGAAATCAACGCCAGAATGGGCGGCTTCTACAACCGACACTGGATCTTGAAGTGCTATAATGTTGATATGGTCAGGTGCGCCTTCTTGATAGCCTGTGGATTAAAGCCCGTTCCTCCCAAGGAGAAGCCATCTTGTCATATCATGGGCGTGATGTGTATACCGTCACAGCACGCTGAGGTCTTCAAAAGCCAGATCTGGTCGGAGACATTCCAAAATGCCCCGGACATTCTCTATACTCTGATTGAAGATGATTTCAGCCATGCCACTCCCGAGACCGAGGAACCAATGTGTAATATAGCCGTGTGCACACCTAGTAGGGCCGCATCCAAGGAAAAGCTTTTGATGATCTGCGACGCTTTCAAAGTTACAAACAATGAATACGATGTCCCGCACTATGTCTCAGAGTTTAATTGATGATCAAAATTGCTGTATTTTGTAAGTTTGAACATTTTTTTCATGTTGTAAACAATTTAATTGATGCACAAATTGAAAAAATTGCTGGCTTTTTTTGTTTGTTTGTTTGTTTGGTCATTTTTATTATTTTGTATATATACAATTTGACGGAAGGACAAAAATCCTGGGCTTTTTTGGTTTGCTGAACATTTCATGTTGTATATCATTTAACTGAAAGACAACATTTCTTCTTTTTTTATGTCGTATACAATTTTACTGAAACACGTTCAGGTTGTATTCGAAAATTGATCGTTGCACCTTTAGAAAATTTGCTATCAACAAACAGATTCAAGATTGGTACATGTACATGTATATATTTTTAGACATTTCGTAGAATATTGTGTTGCCATTTTTGATTTTCTTTTCTATATTTTTTTAGTTTTTCATTGTTAGAGTTTATAGTTAAATGAACTTCATTTGGCTATCGCAACTATAATTTTTTACTCGTGTCAAGATATTTGGTTATAGCCATTACATGTATAGTTTTACTCATTTCGAGAATTGTTTGTGGTCATATGAATACTACATGTATTAAAAAAAAACATTGATCCATGTATTTGTATTTTGAGACGCGGAGATTGCATAAAAGTATTTCAAAGGAGACATATTCTATTATTATATTTCCTCCCGACTGGTACGAGATTGAGACAAATGCAATGAATTTTAAAGGTGGTATACTTAAACAATAAAATGTTTTCTTTGTTTGTTATTACTGGAATTAACGGAAGCAGCTGTTGCAGAAAAAATACATACGTAAAATACATATGTAATTTTTTTTTCTGCAATAGCTGCGACCGTTAATTCCAGTAATAACAAACAAAGAAAGACATTTTATTGTTTATATTTATATCTGTTTAAATAATCATATAAAGAAGGATTAAAAAGTTTAAATATTGTTTTAATGATGCGAATGTCTTTTTACGTTTCGTTGATGGAACAGCCACTGATCAAGAAATCTGTACAGGCGACATGCCTAATGTAGTTCATGCAGTGATTAACGCAATGGGTTTTCTTAAGAAATAAAGGAGAAAATATGGATGTAAATATACTATTGTTTTCGTCACGATCTAGTTGACAGCTGCACTCAAGGTAAAAATAGCTTTACGACTGGGAGAAAATATTCGTATCAGATAATTTGTTGACCAATGTGAAATATATTGACGAAACGTGAAACTTTACATGCAAACAATAGTATTGGCAAAACCATTATTCTTTATATTTAAAAGGAGTTTACTTTGGATATCGTGATTTTTTGGTCCCATTGAGTTCGGGACAACGAAATTTGATTTTGTATAATATCTAATCAGCTGAAGAAGATAAGGACAACAATACATGTAATACTGGTACTTAGTAATTAGAAAGATTCCTCGTGTAGATATAGCTAAAATGAACCAGAAATGGTGGTCAAAATAATACATCTTTTTAAATGGAAAATAGCATGGCTACAATATTTAGTAATAATTTAATTATGGTTGTAACGATGTATTTGATTGGATAAAAAATTATTTTATATATAAAAACGTCACAATGACTTGCGTCAAAAACGTATCAATCCGCCTGACGTTACATTCAAATTTTGCACAAATTGAAGTCATTTTGTTGGAACAATAACCTTTTTTTCTTACATCAAATGAATGAAAATTAAATTATTTTTTACCCATTTTATACGGGGGGGGGCTTTTTTATAAACCGCTTCGCGGTTTATAAAGCGTAAACTGGGTAGCTATTAAAAAATCCATAAATATTCTGCTTTTTCGACAGTGACGTCGGGGGGGGGGGGGGGGGAATAAAAAAAAATCCAATTCTGTTTCCGGGGGGGGGGGGGGGGGGGGGTCAAACTTCTTTCAGGTAACATATTTTTACTCAAATAATACACTAACTTTATATCAACCGCAAAATAAGGTGAGGGGTCTATAAACATTTCCTATAGTAATCCCTGTCTGGAAAGAAGCCCCCCCACCCTCTGCTTCATGCCTGAGCGAACTATGCGTTTGAATGGGCCATAACAGTGGTTTTTACCGAAATTCAGATCTCTCTAATAAATCCTCAAAAAAAAAACAAAACGAAACATTCATATTTTTGGGGCAATCATTCTAATACGTATAAACCAACGACGCTAAGAGCAATAGAATCGGCTAAATATCTTGACCGCGTGGTTCGGTATAATTTTTACATGGAAGTACATGTACATGTAAATTGCTCGAGCGTAGGGGAAAAGTCTGCATATTTTCTTGGAAGAAACACATAGGCGTTGGAAGCAAATCGAAAGTGGGGGGGGGGGGGCTAAACCAACAAAAAAGATAAACCCCAATTTTCAATGTCTATATAATGTATATATTTGGAAAAAAAGGGACAAAGCCCCCCCCCCCCACTAGACCCCCCCTTCCCCGGTTCCGACGCCTTTGGAACAGCAATGATAAAATTATTACATCTGTATTGATACACAAGCATCATCATTTACACTTTTATGTACAGTGAATTAAAGTAAGGAAGGTGATACATGTAAATTAAAATCCAAGAACTGTGTTGATGAATCTGTGCCATTGTGGTTCATGAGACCATATGAATTATTAGAAGAATTACACGCTTAGTTTGGACTTTCAGTAAGGCGTGGCATTCTCGACGTTACCTAATTAGCTTCTGAAATTTACACAGCTTCCCTTCACTGTTGAAATATATATATGATAGAAATTGAATGTCAACTGGTGTAGTAAATAGCCAATTAAAAGACGGCACAGGTGGGGCATAAATGATCAACAACAATTTTAAGTTCCTATGTTATTAATTTCGTAACCATTGAGAATCTACTTGTATTCTCCATTACGTAGCGCCGAGAAAGTAGTCCAAAGATAGGGTAAAATACTCCTAACTTTCTATACTCAATTAAAAGTACACTCGACTCGTGAAAATTCCCTCTTTAATGGTTTATGTGGGGGTTTAGATTGATTGTCTACTTATTTTCGTTTTAAAATCTCTAGGTTGTAATTTTTCATCCCAACCTACATGAACAACCATTTAAACATGACGAGAAGAAAAAAGTCAGTTTCTTCAAACAGTTGCCACAATTTTCCCCTGTAATCCCTATAAGATATTTAGTGTACCGCCTTTTGATTCGCTTTTATCAGATATACAAAAATTGTGGGCGTTAAAAATATAGGAAAAATACCAACTTTCGACAATAATAATATTAAAAGATCAAACAATCTATATTGACTATAAAATGTCTTTGTCTAAAGAATGGACAGGTAACAGATGGGTATAGGAAAACATATACAAAAATCTTATGCTACAAAGTTAATTCAAAGTTTGAAAAAGATTATTAATTCGATACAAATCAAAGTATACACGTTAAAATAATGATGGAATTTTGGTTGAAGTTTGCAAATTGGGCCTAATAAGCAATAATAGCCAAGCCCCAACCTGAAAACACATAGCCCGGGTACGGGAATTAACGTTGCAGCTGTTGCAAAAACAAAATGCATAACCCATGAGATATGCAACTTTTTTCTGCAATGGCTGCAACAATAATTCATATACTAACTAGTACTATCAAAGCACAGGCACCTGGCGTTACTTATTTTTATGCGCCCGGATCGATAGATCGAGGCGTATATTGTTTTGTCCTGTTTGTCTGTCTGTTGTCAACTTTAACCTTCGCCATAACTTTTGAACCGTATATTAAGCTCTTTCAAATGACACCAAGGTCAATCACCTAGTGACCTTGACTGTGACTTATATGCTAAAAATAGCTTTTTTCGAACTTTCGCCATGACATTTGAACCATAGGAGATAGAGACTTTATATTTGGTATGCATACTCCACTTATTAAGCTCTTTCAAATGACACCAAGGTCAATGACCTAGTGACCTTGACTGTGACCTATATGCTCAAAATAGCTTTTTCAAACTTTGTTGCCGCCGGGTTTAGCTTTCATTTATAATTTGGAGAAGAAAAATTTCACACATATTAGTTTCAAAATTTGGTCATTTTTGTATATCCTTATATGGAACTCTTCTTCTAAAGGAGATCAAATTAGTCTGAAAATGGCCACAACCACCCAACCCCTTTAAAAGAAAAATAAGTAACGTCAGGTGCCTGTGTATCATAGCTCTAAAGACTTTTTTATTGGTTATATATATCATATTTGCATAAAAATCATTTAAAGTAGGATTAATTAGCTTAAACAAAATAATAATGTTCGACATTTATTGATGGAACAGCCATAGCTGAAGAAATCTGTAGAGATGCTATATAAGCTTAGCGGCGTTTACTGACTGATAAACGACTATGGTTTTCTTAAGAAATAAGGAGATAATATTCATTGGATGTAAATTTAATTATATGTATGTGAATTAATAACAGAAGCGGTGAGGGGTTGAATGGCACAATCTGTAATTGTGGATTTCGAAGTGACTATTAACCCAACTTCAGCAAAATAAATAAAATGTATTAATTTTATATATTGTATTTCTCACTGGATTTCTTTTTGAACTGAATTCTCAGTGGCATTTAAATTCAATCTGCAAAATGTTGCAACTTTTTTACTGGTAAATTTTGGAGAGAATGATTGCAGCACTGCAGTTAGTGATATATTGATGATAACCTCTGTCAGTTAATATAAGTGCCGGATGAATTATTATATTTGAATTTCGAGCTGAAATATGGAATTTTTCCCCCTGGAAAAATAACATCAGATTTAAATTAAAATCTGGAAATGTTTCATTGTGGATACAGCCACGTACGGTACACATTAACGGAAGCTGTGAGATGTTTAGGGTGAAAACTGTTAGAAGTACTGGATTACCGTTTAAATAATTCATGGATTAAAAAGTGCCGATGTACTTTCTGCAGACTTGTGTTTTAGATTAACAAATTGGTTATTTAGTATGTTTTTAGTTAATTAAATGTCGTCATCTAGATTGGTAAATTCCAATGTGTACCAATTTAAGTACATGTTCTTCCAATACTGTTTGTTATGTATAACGGTTCATTTTGAAGTTTAAAAATTGTCCGTAAAAGTCAGATTTATAT